GAGCCAAGAGAAGTTGGGCCCATTGTGTTTGGCTCGAGGAACATATGATTTGAGTTCCTCCTGGAGAGCATCAGTGCAAGAATTCAGAACAGCCCTTCCTGACCAGGCAAGGTTTGTCAAATCATACTGGCAAACAGGATGTTGCTTCAGAGTTCCAGCATCGATGAGTCGACCCCATTGACTGTGAGGTCCTGATGCCATTTTTCCATCATAGACTCTGAGACCTGTCCAGGAGCAGTGAACATGTGATTTTATTAATAGTGTTAGTATTAAGGTTCCAACAACAAGCTGAAAGACCCCTTCATTCCATGCTCAGTCATCATATTCAAAGGCGATGAGAGAGGCTAAACATGGGACCCAGAGGCATTTGACTCCGTCAACGTCGAGAATAGGAGACTGGGGAATCCTTCAGTCCTTTCTTGCATGCCAATTCGATAGGCTGGAGTGTGGTGTGATGTTTCAGATGGTCATCACCGTGGAAACCCCTGAGCATAGGTGCTTTGAGGTTCCTTCCCAGTCCATCTGAGCCAGATCCTGTCCAGGCTCCAGTGTGGTTGATACCTCCAAGTCGAGGGCTTCTGTAAGCTTGGTCTTTTCTTTGGTTTTCCCAATGTGCTGGAGGAGCTCCTGGAACTGAACTGCGGTCAATGGTGCTGCAGTCATGGTTGGAGGATCAGATGGTGGGATGATTGGATCAGATTCAAAGAAGGCTTGTCTGAAGCCTTGTGGACTGAACAAGGATGCTGGTGCTGGCGCTGCTGTTGTTGAAGATGAAGATGCTGAGGCAGAGGAAGCGTCGTCAAGGTCCATCAATAATAGATGATGGAATTGGAGGTAGTGAAAATCAACAAGGTCAACAGTGCTGCGGCAACAAGAGGAGGAGCGGCAACAGGAGCAGGAGCGCAGCGAACAAGAGCAAGGCGAACAAGAGTGTGGTGGATGTCCAGTCAATCGAGTCACTCGAAGTTGGAATTTATGGGCCTTTGAACAGCTCGAAGGAGACCGATTCGCCGAACTGTTCAAACAACTGCTATCTGCAATAAGTGCAAGCCAGCTCAAACAACTGCTATCGTCGACATCGCGAGCGATCGATGACTCTGTAGTAGGATCCCTACGAGAGGCGTACAGATTCAAACGACCGATCGCGAGTCCGTTCAAACGACCAACTGCAAGCCAGTTTCCTCCTTCGTTCAAACGACCAATGCCAGTCCTAGGTAGATAGAGTCCAATGATAACAGCACGGAGACGACCGACAACACCACGAGCGATCCATCGCTGCGTGTTGTTATCCGAGTTAATGAAAAAGTGAGGATATGAAGCATGACTCAAGAAAAGACTTAAGCTCAAGCGATTCGAATTAAATAAAGCCTGACTCGAAGCAAGACACACAAGCCGAGCCTTCCATATGCAGTCGGAGCTCATTTTTCGATGAATTTTGCTGCTGTTAACTCGGAGCTTGTTATCTCCGTTGATCGATCGATGGTGAGGCAAGGCTTCAACGGTGATAGAGATAACAGTAATAGCAGTAGCGGTAGTAGTAGTAGCTCCTGCAGCGATCGAGATAATAGGATCCTCATTGAGATTACGATCGTCAATAGGATTAAGAAAGGTGGACTCCCATAGGAGTCCATCGTATATAGGATCCTCATCGCGATATTGATAGACGACAGGATGGAATGGGAGATTGCTTTCGAGCGAATCAAATGGTTCATCCTCATTGAGATTACGATCGTCAACAGGATAAAGAAGAGGGGTATCAAGAGATGACAGGCCACAGATGAAGAATGCAAGAGGAAACTCAGGAGCAGTCTGCATCAAGGAGTAGCGAAATTCACTGACACCCACAAGGGATAGACATATAAGAATAAGAATGAGTAACATCTCATAACCTCGCATGCTACCATGCGACAATACCATTGTGCATTGACTAGTCTAAAGATCTAAGAGATGTAAAGTTTGTATTTCCAAATAAGTGAGCAGTTATTGATTATTTTCTAGAATAAGCCTGCTAATTGTAAAGCTGTAAAGCTGAATTGTAAGCTGTATCCCGTCGCAATGTAGCCTTGTTGACTCAATCAGTCATAACTCACTCAGCCAATTCCTGTTGGATTCGCTTTCTTCAAGCAATAGAGTGGTGTAGTTAGTGATGATCTTCAAGGCGGTACTAGTTTTAAGAGGGTTACGAGCTTTACACGTAGAACTCAGGTAGGCTCCAGTACAAAAATGTTGGCTCACAATCCACTTTGGTGTAAAGGATGTAAACGGCACTCACAAGATTTAACACTTAGAGGCAATGAGAACCCGGGAATAAATGCAAATCGGACCAAAAAAGGACTCTTTCATTAACATATGGACTGAACGTTAAGCCATGGGTGAACATGCTCAATACAAACAAGGTCAGGAAAGATATAACAAGTATAATGGTGTAGTGTTGAGCCAATTTCTTTATGGAGTTAACAGAAGTTGTAAAACAATTTACTTTGGAGAGTACTGTTTTACTATAGTGTAAATTTTCGATGGCTCAAAACCGGCCTAAAACTAGTATGCTTCGAACTGGATGTTTCCATGTAGGAAGTTGATCTTTGGATCCTCCGGTGTAGTCAATGTGTCAGTGCGTGAGTGACGATTTCGTGATGCCCTTTTTCCTGCAAGGCTGTTGGGATAGCTCTCTCAATGAGGCCAGAGCCCTTTCTGCCTGCACCGTTTGTTACACCTGTTGTTTACCTTAGCTTGTTATCATGCAATAGGATGTCGATGGTACCGGTATCACCATGGCGAGATCTCGAACTCGAGATGATACACTTCTTGGAAATAGTGTTGGTTGCTAGTAACACTCTAGCTTAGTAAAGGTCAAAAGGGTTTTACTGTTAAGCTATTTCCAAGAAGTGATCTTTCTCCATGTTTTCTGGGATTGATTCAACTTCAAAGGATATAGTGAAGGGGTGACCATATAGATCAGTTAAACTCCCCATGTATGTAACTAGAGAATAGATATAGATATCCCCGCTAAACTAGATTGGGATAGACGAATAATTTGTATTGAGGTGTCTGTAATACAACCTCCAACATCTTCACTATTCCGAGTCCAGGTGTTCCCGCAGTCTTGTAGTTAGGTAACTTTTGCACCTCCTCTCCGAATGTCGTTTGGATCTTCTTGATCATGTGTGGTTGTCCTACCCATGCAGCATCCTTTGGGGGATTCATCCGAATCTCACAGCTCAGGTAGTCCGTGAGTTCATACTCGATCGTCATGTTCAATCCTCGATCCTTAATCCCTTGAAGTACTCCCTTGATATCGTCTTCTCCTCCAATGGTAAGATTGTCGTCCACGTAACATAGGATCACGCATATTTTTCCATTCTTGTTCCGCATGAAGAGGCATGGATCACTAGGACATGTTACGAATCCCAAGTCTTCCAGAACACTCACAAACTTCAAATAGTACTGTTGTGCACTCTGGCAAGCACCGTAGATGGTCTTGTCCAGTAGGACACATTCGTCGTCTTGATGTTCTAGTCCCTTTGGGCAGTCCATGTAGATGACTACATCCATGTGTCCTTGTAGGAATGCTGTCTCAATATCGAAGATGATTGCCTTCGCTCTTCCCATCTTCTTCAGTAGTAGGATCAAGACGATGCGGAAGGTGATGTCATTAGCAACTGGACTGTAGATGTTGTCAAAATCAATTCCAGGCACCTGGCTGTAGCCGCAGGCCACCAATCTAGCTCTGAATCTTCCATTCCGCTTGATTTCTAGTACCCACTTGTGTTTGACACATCGTCTCCCTTCCTCCATTCTTGATCTCTTGATCTTGCGCCAGACCTTGAGTTTCTCCATCTTGTCTAGCTCTCCCTTGATCGCCTCCCTCCACTTCTCTCGTTGAAATGGTTCCGGGTGGTCCCAAGCTTCCTTGAATGTACTTGGCTTGGTGAACAGATACTTGTACTTTGCTGGATCCTGAGTCCTTAGGTCGTATGCGAGAGTCTCTTGATCAATGGATGCTTGTCCCAGTCCTCCCGTCAAATCCACTTTGGGTGCTGTATACCCAAACTCCATCCAGTCTTCATGTGCGTCTCCAAATCTTTCTGTCATCTGAATCGTCGAAAAGTTTGCCATTTCTGTCATAGGCTGTGATTCCGGTTGTTCGTGCTGAGCTGTTACCTTCTCTCCTCCTTCGGATGCATCATCGGAAAGTGCTTGCATGAGGGAGCCCCCGTCATGAGGTTGTACCGCCGCTAGCTTGTCTAACGTCTGCATGGCTTGAGGGTTGTAGCTCGCACTGAGTTTCTGTAGTTCCCGCATAGCTTTGGATACTTTGGCTTTGACCGGGTCTGGGGGTTGCGTCGTTGGGATCGCGAGAACTTTATTAATCTTCTTGGTTTCTAATGTGATTGCTCCTGTCTTGGCTGAAGTCTTCGTAGGCTTAAGGAGCAGATCGTGGGAGTTCGATTCCCGAGTTTCTGTAGGTAGGACGCTAAGGAGTTTATCCTTTCCAATATGGGTGAGTTCTTCTGCCGTACTTGGTAGACCCATACCCTTCCATTCTGCATACGTCTTGTCCATCCAGATCACGTCTCGTGTGAGCACCTGTGCCCCTGTCGCTATATTGTACATCTTGTAGGTATCGGCACTGTGATTCCGTGCTCTCCCAAGATAAAGCATGGGCAATCCGCGATCTTGGAGTTTACCTTCGATTTTTCCGACAAAATTGACGTAACCGACCTCTCCAAAGCGTCATAACCTGGATAGTTGTGGAATGTCTTCCCCATAGAATATACGGTAACTTGGATTGTCATGGGATGCCGATTGTAGCACATTCTCGACGTCGGTGACATGCATGACGGCATCACCGTAGAGAAACTTTCGTTGCTTCTCGTCAAAACCAGGAGCGTTCCGCAATGGTGCTTTTAGGGCAGAGTTTGGGGAACTCTGCCCTAATTATTAGGGCTCTGCCCTAATTATTAGGGCAGAGTTTGAAACTCTGCCCTAAGTTTGAAACTCTGCCCTAAATTAGGGCAGAGTTTCAAACTCTGCCCTAATTTAGGGCATGGTTTCAAAACTCTACCCTAAAAATAGGGCAGAGTTTGAAACTCTGCCCTAAATCTTGGCCGGATTCATAGTGTTTACCACGCAGTCCCGTTTCGATTTAGGGTACAGTTTGAGACTCTGCCCTAAGTTTGAAACTCTGCCCTAATTTAGGGCAGAGTTTGAAACTCTGCCCTAATTTAGGGCATGGTTTCAAACTCTACCCTATTATTTAGGGCAGAGTTTCAAACTCTACCCTATTTCGAAACCCTACCCTAAATCCGGGATTCCAGAATGAGGCACGCTCCAGCTTCGTGGAACATGGCCCGAATTCGATCGGTGCCAACTGCAATCCATCGTTCCACCTTTCCATTCTGCTGAGGTGTATCCCGTCCAGTCAGTTCAAACTTGACCCGTCTCAAACATGGTTCAATCGCATTCTCACATTCCGTCATCAGTTTCTTGTTCTCTCCTGCATCATCCATATGGATATAGTGTACTGGTGTGCCTCTGTGATCCATTACTCGAATGAAATTCTTGATCTTGAGAATGACATCGCGCTTGGTCTGAATGATCCTACTCCATCGCATACTGGTAGCGTCGTCGATAATTGCTAGCCAATACTTTCCTCCCTTGGTAGATGTGCCTTCATCAACTGAGGAGGTATCAATAAATATCCGTTCTCCAGGGATCTCAGATGTCGTTGAAGTCTCCTTGGCCACGGGCGCTTGTTTCGCTCGTCCTGCTCCACAGTGGGAACATGGTTCTAACGTCCCTGTGAGCTTCCATCCGTACTGATGGGCGGTTCTGCGCAGTGCTGCTTCACTCGCATGTCCCAGTTTCTTGTGTAGGTCATTGATCTTCCAGTACTTCACCTTGCTTGTTTGTTCCGACTTTGTCGTATTCGCACCGTCACCCGGCGAAGTCTCTTCAGTCGCCTCGAGTCCAGTGTCATCCATGCATGCATAGCTGCTTTCTTGTGGCATGTCCTGTGGAAAGAGATCAATGCCGCAAAGGGATCCGTCTTTGGTTGAGTTAATTTTATCAAAGACTATTCGTTGATTGCGTTGTGTCAAAACGATCTTGGTTCCTTTATTCGAGATGTTCCAACCCTTCTGGATCGCCTTGACCAAGCAAAATAAACATACACCCAGGTTGAGGACATACTTGTAATCCGACAGTGTCAAGTCATACGTCGTGCCATCACGCTGCATTGCCGTCAACTTGATCGTACCCTTCTTTACTGCTCGGATCTTGTCTCCACTTCCAACCTTGATTCCTTCATCGATTTCTTCCACATCGGTCATTCCTTCGTCCACATTGCCCATATGAGTAGATGCGCCGCTGTCTGCAATCCATGTGCTCCGACTGAATCCTTCACCTGACCTCATTGTAAACACATACTCATTGGCTTCCTTCATTACCTTGTACATCTGCCAGCGCTTCTTCCTTGCTTGCTTGACTCTGCGATGGCTTGTCCTTAACTGAGCCATACGTCCATCCGCTGTGGGTAGTACGGAGGCAAACGCACAATCACCCCCATTCGCGCAATCATCGCGTCGTCCACGAAGTGATGCACTTCGTTCTGGGTGATCAGTCCGGCATCCAACATCATGCTGATTCCTACTGGGTTCTCTATTTCTGGGCGCTGTCCATCTTTCTGGTATTTAAAAGTTGATACGACCGATCCTTGTAGCAGCGTGAAATCGCCGGGCACCATCGGATGGTCCATTCCTCCTGCAAAGGTCAAACGCGTTTGCCAGTACTGATGGCCTATCTTCTGCCAACCAGGTCCGTCCTTGGTATACTGACCCAACATAAACATCAAAAGCCCTTCCGTCTTTCGTCCTCTCTTGCCGACGCCAAGGAGCGTCGAGTGGTTCTCCACGGATAGATACCGCTCTCCGATTCCGTACGATCGACTCCCAACAGGCATATGTCAATATTTCGCCCCATGGCTTTGCCTTTTCGGGTGGCACTGATAATTCTCTCAGCTGTGACCCTTGGGATACCATATTTCTGTAAGATAGCTTCCGCACTTGGAAATCCTGCGCGCTGAGGATGAGGTCTGTTGGTAGGTTTTCCTTTTCGATATGCTCTTTCGCGGCATCTTCCCACACTCGTGCCTGACAGTTCACGTAGATACTGATCATAATCAGTCTTTTCCATCGGATGTTCACTTGCCATGGGTTCTCTCCCAACAACGGGATATCTACCAGTAGCTTCCATTCCGGATTGAACTGCACTTGGGCAACCATCTCTGCCACGTACTCCACTTCTTCCTTTGGAATGCTGTAGGCCTTGAATCCGAAGTTTGTTCCTTCGGCTACGCCGACATCTCGAACGCACTTTGCCTTGCACGTTAGCATTGCGCCAGCTATGATCGTTGTGTCCGGAGTCCAATCCTTGAAGATCATCAGCTTGCACGTCCACGCTAAGGCTTGCATTTGGAAATGCACGAGATCGTTGTTCAAGCCCACTTGTTCTGCTGTCAGTTGCAGGATCTGTCGGAATTGGTTGAGATTCCCGAATGTTTCTTTCATAGTTGGCCCTGTCATCTGATCCCAATCGTCCTGGGTGATCTTTGATGCTGCCGCTTCCGCTACTTCTTCCCAGATCCAGTTCGTTAACATTGAATCGTCCAATGCCCAATCTTCTGTTGCTCTCATCATCACATGTCGATCGTTCAATGGTAGCGGATGTCTGTAAGGCCCAACCTCGATTTAACTTCACTTCCAACACTCCTCGAATTATCTCGTTTTCCGGCTACATTGTCTTCCTCTTCAGTATCACTTTCGCTCAAACAACTGTAGTAATTATCGTCTTCGTAGACTGTGGGTCTCTTACCCGCTTGTTGTTTCTCCTCCTGCTCAGAAACGTTTTCGCTGTAGCCGTTTTGCTTTAAATCGTAGAGCTTTTCGCTGTCAAAATCTGCCCTGCTCTCTGTTTCACAGGACAGAAAAGTGGCGTCTGGGTTCTCGTTGTATGTGACTGATTCTGTTTCAGTCAATCGTTGTTGTTCCTCTTGGAGAGACTTAAGGGCGTCCATCGCCTCATAAGTCAACCGCTCCAAGCTCTCTCCATCTTCATCCACGTTTTCTCCGCTTTCAAAATTATCCCATTCTTCACCTTCGTATTCCGACGCTTCTTCTACTCCTCCTGTTTCATCATCTGACAACTCTACTCCTCGGCATGGCATGCATATTTCATCGCTCATTGTCATGAACGCCATTTCTTCTGTTGCTTCTTGCGCTGCGTTTGCTCCTTCTGAGCTTCTTTGTTCTGCCTTGAGTTTCAGGCAATCCGCTTTCCTGTGTCCAATCTTGCCACAGTGAAATCACTTTCCGCTGAACTTGTTCTTGCCTGAGTTTCCTCGGTTGTTCCCACCGTTCCTATTAAATCTGCCATTCGGCCTTCTTTGTGGTCGATGTCTGATACTCCTTCCGTTCGAACCTCTCTTGTCTGGGCAGTCTTGTTGCTTGTGGCCGATCTTTCCGCAACCTCGGCATCTGCCCTTGAACTGCTTTCCTCCAATCATGAAAGCTGTTTCACCACTGTGGTCCGTTGACTTATTTCGTGCTTTGATCTCATTGTAAATTTCGCATAAGTCATTCACCACGCTCTTTACCGTTATTCCGTGCCCTGGATTCTTGATCCTCCTCAGGACATTCTTCTTCACTTCGTGATACACACCAAGTTCTCCCTCCTTCTTCGGCATCTTCTCGAGAAGGTCCTTGATGTATTCTTCGTCCGAGATCTTGAACCAGTCCTTTGCTAGCTTCTTGCGTTTTACGTCGAGTCCAATTTCGAACTTCTTTGAGTTCTCCTTGATGTCCATCTTTACAGCGTAGTATTCCGTTCGTCGAGCTGCCACCTCGCCGCTGTCTTCGGCATCGTAGAGGTCCAACATAGACTCCCACATGCCTTTGAACTTTCCCACAGCATGGTCAGTTGTCTGGTGTGAGGCCAATAGGTCGAAAGCAACTTGCCCTTCTATTGTCTCCACATTGATTGAGTCCAGCAGTATACCAGCAGCCTTGCTGTTCTTCTTCTGCAAACTCTCGATCTTCTCTACTTCTTCGTCCGTTACCTTGCCTGCACCTGTGGGATTCTCCCAGTTGTCCAGCTTAATCTCTGTAGAATCTTTCATCAGTTCCACGTACCCATACTTCGATAAATGGGCCATCATCTTGACCTTGTAGAACCGAAACTTCTCATCTTTCCCATCGAAGATGGGATACTTGCTCAACGATGATACTTCCACCTCCGTAGACATCTTGACTTACTTCTTCTTCTGTTTGACAAACTGAATTCAAGCTCACTCTTTCCTGATAGCTATCATTTTAAAACGTGTTGAAAAGGTGTGAACTTGAACGCACAATTTCTCTAATTTAATCAGTATCTTTCCAGCTCTACTATCTAGTAGACTGGCTATTCGTTTTCTCTTTCTCTCTCGTTCAGATTGTGAGCTCTTAGACTGAGCTCCGATATGCATACATATACCAGGATCTTTCGATCCTCTGCTTCTCGCAGTTTCATCCGTAGATAGATCTCATCGATCTATCTTCCTGAAGTGCATGGTTGGCCCTGGAGGGGCTTTCCCACTTTACTAAACCTATGGACCCTTACCTGTCCATTCATTTGCTCCGTCCCATCGCTCCTTGCTTTCTTCCCCTCAACCTAAGTTCCTGACCATTGTAGTTGCATCACCTAGACGACCGTCGTCCTATTTCTATACATCTGGCCATCTGATGATGATCGGATAACCATCTGATTCTGAGTCACAGATCCCCCAATCACGAATCGTGACTGTGGATCCCGAGTCATCTGTCCATCATACGAAAATACCTTTTCTAACATTGTCCCTTTTTCTTGAGTTTGTTAGGGTTAGGCTTATCCATTCTAGTACATGTAGCTTCGACGTGGTGAGGTACGGTTCCGGTTCCGGTTCCGGGTCCTAGTAGCTTTAGCTTGGTAAGGTACGGTTCCAGGTCCGGATACTAGTAGCTCTAGCTTGGTAGGGTACGGTTCCGGGTCCAGGTACGGTAGTTTAGCAGAGCCATGATAGTTTGACTGGAACTGTATATGACGATGGAA